AGCATTTTGGCCTCCCATTCAAAGGAAGTTGAGTTGGGGTGACATTTCATTTGGAGTTAGTGGGATATATTTAGATTGTTTTCAGTCACTTTGTGTCGTAAGTTGCTGCTCTCTGTCCTGGTAGAGGAATGGCTCTGAGTAAATTTCCTGTTACCTCCTGTGCCGGTTCTCTGACATCAGGACATAAGGGCATGGAGCTAGAGATTGTATTGTAATAATATGTACCTAGTGTACCTAGCCCTGGAATGTGGGCAGTGGAGAAAAAACAAGGTTTGAAATGCATGAGGTCAGAAAAAACAGTCTGTGGAAAATTCCTCCAAACATCAGAAACATAAATTTATAAATAGAAAAAATATCCATTCTTGTGGAAACCTGTACAGAACATTCTTTACAAGCAAGAATATACTCAAGAAATTCAGTATATAAGATTTTAATGCTCCCTGAATTTTTTTCTTTTTTGATGGAACTATTCAAAAAATATATTAAAATTCCTGCATTTCCAGGACACAAACTTGTAGTAGAACTACAAATTTCAAGTATGGCTGTGCAATTATAATCAAAACCAAAATATGTTAATCACTTTTCTTCAGCTCCATTAAATAAAAGACTGACTTATTGTTCCATAGAAATTTCTACAAAATCATTGTCATCAATGTAAAAAATTAATAATCTATATGGATTTTGTGCAACTAAAAATAAGCAGACAGAAAAATAGACAGATTAGGAGAAAGGTAAGGTTGGAAAGAAAGAAGAGAACTGACTGGAATACTCCTGACCTCCAAACTCCCCCTGGAAAATGGAAGACCCTGGAATTGAGCGTCCCCTCCTGCTAGGGGACTAGAAGCTCCAGACAAGCTTCAGCCCCTCTCCCTGGCTGACCCAGAGCCAAAGAGCTTTGGTGAGCTGAGGATAAGGAGCTGCCTCTCAAGAGCCCCTTCCTCTGGGTCCGTGCCAGCCTGTCCCGCTGATGGCCTCGGGGACACGGTGTTCCCCAGTAGAGGCAGTGTGGCTGGCTGGTCTCCAGTGATGTGTGCCTCCTGGAGTGCTGGGCTAAGCCAGGGCAGCCAAGGTGCGGAAGCAGGAGCTGCTGAGCAGCAGTTCCCAGCTTTGGTGCCACCTGCCAGGCAGTCCTTCCTAAAATGAGGCTCTCGGGACTTCTGCCAATCCTGGTACCATTCCTCCTCCTGGGGGGTGTCCAGGAACCTGGGCTGGGGTTTTTGTTAGTTCTTTAAAATTTGCTGTTGGCAGCTATTTCCCTTCTCGTTGAAATAAGATTCACTTTTAATTTAATTTGTATTCATTTTTTAAGAAATCCCCAACTTTAAAGCTGCAGACCATATAAAACCTGGGTCGGCTCCAGTTCCATTTTTAAGCATTGTATGACAATTTTACTGGAGTGGCAGTGTCACAAGAGTTCTCAATGCAGATTTTCATACTCTCTTCTCCCTCTATTGGTGTCACTGGAAGACCCAATGACTTCTTGTTCTCTGAAAACTGCAGAGGGACCAGATGTGAATTATTAGCCTCAGAGACATCAGACCTCACAGAACATTTTATTAGGGAAAACTGAAAGCTACTGAAAGATAAAAGGGGGACCTGAAAGATGAAGAGATAGGGTCACACACTGAGAAGGGGGGCAAAGGGCAAAGGGCATTGTGCTTGAAGAGAAGCTGAGCTGCAGTAAGCACCTTCTAGGGTCTGGTTTTTGGAACAGTCCAGGTCTTGGCAGCTGAGATTCAGCCAGTGGAAGCCAGTACACAGCGTAGGTCAGCCCTGTGTGGAGCAGGGCCTGGGGGGTTAGCCAAGTCCCAGAGGTTGTTCCGCCAACCCTCATCCTACCCAGGAAGATGGCGACTCTGTGAGATGAGAGAGAAAAGGGTGGGATGCATGGGATGCCCGGCTCACCTTAGGAACCACGTCTTGCAGTTCATGCTAAAAAGAAGCTAGAATTGTTTTACAACTTTTTACAAGAAGAGAAAATAGAAGTGGAGTGACTTTGGGGCTCACTGAGTGACATGTATTCTGGTTTTTCCAGTACAGTCCCGGCTTATGTCTGTTGTCTCAGTTAATAATTAATGACATCTCCTTTTGCTCCTAAAAGTGTCTTAGTTTGGTCAATAAAGCAGGTGGTTGTCCTGGCTAGAGCAGCCTTGAACAGAAAAAAACGCATAGGTGGCAAGATGTGGTGGGAAGTGACAGCCTCAACCAGCCCAGGTTCCTGGACACCCCAAGGAGGAGGAATGGTACCAGGATTGGCAGAAGTTCCGAGAGCCCCATTTTAGGAAGGACTGGCCTGGCAGGTGGCACCAACGCTGGGCACTGCTGCTCAGCAGCTCCTGCTTCCGCACCTTGGCTGCCCTGGCTTAGCCCAGCACTCCAGGAGGCACACATCACTGGAGACCAGCCAGCCACACTGCCTCTACTGGGGAACACCGTGTCCCTGAGGCCATCAGTGGGACAGGCTGGCATGGACCCAGAGGAAGGGGCTCTTGAGAGGCAGCTCCTTATCCTCAGCTCACCAAAGCTCTTTGGCTCTGGGTCAGCCAGGGAGAGGGGCTGAAGCTTGTCTGGAGCTTCTAGTCCCCTAGCAGAAGGGGACGCTCAATTCCAGGGTCTTCCATTTTCCAGGGGGAGTTTGGAGGTCAGGAGTATTCCAGTCAGTTCTCTTCTTTCTTTCCAACCTTACCTTTCTCCTAATGTGTCTATTTTTCTGTCTGCTTATTTTTCCTATACTGTTTATTTTTCTTCTCTCGGTGCCTCTTTCTTTTACTCCGTTCCTGGTTTTGCTCTTTTTCTGGGAGTCTCACTCTGCCTGGGTCTCTTCCTCCCCATCCTTCATTGCCCTCTGCCCTTCTCCTCTTCCTTCTCATTGGACCACCCCTTTTCTTTAACCATTACCCCCAAGTACAGGTATTTCCATGAGTAGCGGGTTGATTCCAGGCTGAACCAAATCTTCAGAGAGTGTCTGTCAAGATCATGGTGCTTTGAAAGCAGATGAGAATGCCAGAGCTAATTGAGAGCCTCTACCTTCAGTGCAGTTTGCAATAGCTGATACAGGAGGGAAATAATAAAGGTCAGTTTGACCTTAGAACCAGCTGCAGCAGTGGTGCCTGGAGACTTCCATTGTGCTTTCCAACGTAAGGCTCCCAGCATTGGTAAGACACGCGCTTGGCTCACCTCTGATCACACCTGCAGCTGCAGGAGCCACTTCAGGTGCACAGTTTTTTCCTAATCCATTTTTTAAATTAAGGAGGAATTCACGTCAATAAAATGCATTGCTTTTTAGTGAACAGTTCAGTGACATCTTAGCACCTTCACAGTGTTGTGTAATCACCACCTTCACTAGTTCTAAAATATTTTCATTCCCCCAAAAGCGACCCCCATACCCATCAGCAGTAACTCTCTTCCCCGCCCACAGCCTGCCCCAGCTCCTGGCAACCACTAATCTATGTTCTATCTCTGTGCATTTACCTGTTCTGGATATTTCGTACAATGGAATCATACAGCATATGACGTTTTGTGTTTGGCTTCTTTTGCTTAGCATAGTGGTTTTGCAGTTCTTTCGCAGTGTTACATAGATTCGTGTTTCACTCCTTTTTATGGCTGGATAATATCCAGCAAACACTGATCACTTCCCATTTCCGGCATCAGATTCAGCTTTTCTGCCGGGGGGTTTCTCTGGCTCCCCAGGAGCTTGCTCAGCTTGCACACTGAACAGTCTGGAAGAGCGAGCAATTTAATACCCCCAGGCATCCAGTAGAGGATGGGAATCAGTGGGTACACACCTCAGCCTTCCCATCACTGGAGACAGAGGAAGGAAATTCGGAGGCATGTTTCACATGGTTCCTTAAAGGGTTCCCATGGGATTAAGCTGCAATTTCCCACAGTGGGAACAGCTCATAATCAACTCCTCTCTTCCCCGCACCACTGCCCCACTCCCCACCTGCGCATCTTGAGAGATCTCCCCGATAAGCTCCTCACCCATGCACTTGTCCCAGGATGTGTTTCTGGGGTATCCAGAGGCCTTTGTCTTAAAACTTGTCTTACAAGTTTTTGAAGAAACAGAGGAGGGTAAGAATGACCCTGGAGTTCTCAATTCTCAAGGCTCTGGTTGTCTCAACTCCCTTTAACTGTGTCACCACAAACCCAAGCAACTCTTAACTTTCCTCAAAGTGTAATGCGCCAGCAGATGTGACTTATTCAGCCTCAGGCACAGGACTAAACAGAGGACTTTATTGGGAAAAATTGGGAACAGGTAAAAACAGGGCTCAAGAAGTTGGACAGAAAGGAAGGAAGCATAGAGATGGGATCAAACAGAGGGTATTATGTCTGAAAAGAGGAAGGGGGAGGCAGATCCCAGGGTTTGGTTTTGGGAAGAGCTAAGGCCATTGAACGCAGGAGCAGAACAGTGGAAGCCAGCCTAGGGTGTTGGTCAGGCACACAGATGACAGAGCCGGGGATGGGGAGCCAAATCCTGGCAGCTGTCCCGACGTGTGTCCTGACGTGTCATCAATGTAACTGATTAGGCACCTGTTGAGAGCATAGGAAAGGAGCGGCTGAGCATCTTGGGCTCAGCTTACCTTTGAGACCAATGTTGAAGTTATCTGTACATCTTGCCACAGGAGATTAACAGGAAGTGGGTTTACTTTAGAGAGCTACAAATCTCCTTAAACGAAAAAGGAGATGTGGATGGGGTGGACTACTGGCAAGGGCTGTGATGAGGAAGTGAATGGCCTGGGAGGGCTGGCTGGTCAACAGGTCCGGAGCTGGGCTGGGTGTCTTGTGAATGGTCTCAGGTAGGTCTCTGAGATGTCACCATGTCTGCATCCTCATCATCCCCCATGCCTGCCAGCTTTGATTCACATCCCTTCTGAACCTCAGTTCCCAGACAGCCACTGTCCAACCTTCTGCAAAGTGCATTCTTACCTCCTGGTTGGAGCTGGTTTGGCCACACCTGGTTTGCCAAAGATGTAGTCACTCCAGAACAGACCAGCCAACACCTAGACCTCCCAGCATGGCCCTGGCAACTCACGTTTTTGGGGGCACATGTTCTGGCACATGACTTTGGATTGGAAGTTGTTATTGTTTCCTTGGCAGCCGCCATAGATGAAGCTGGAGCAGGTATCATTTTTCTTATCATACCACCAACGAAGTAAAAAGGCCATGCAGGGGCCAGGTTCTTTTGGCATACTGCATATGTCTGTGAGGAGAACCCAGAGCGGGGAAGTAAGGATGCCCACCCTGAAAAAAACAGCCATTATTATGCCCCCTGGCAACTATCATAGATAAAATTGAGCAGCTCCCTGCACCTTCTCACACCTCGGGAGCCCAGCTCCACTGATGCACTGTGCACATTTTCAAGGAGATCCCACAGGGAGCTGTTGGGGTGTCAGCATCCCCAGAGAACATAGGTCTCCCCCTTCCCTTCTGGGCACTGTCCTCCTTGCGTCCTCTGAGCGCAAAGAGACTCTGGTTTCACGGCTCTGCTCTTAATTCAGGGTGGACACATTGACCTCCCACATTACCTGTCTTGTCCTTGACTTCCTCTTTTGTAAAATGGGAATGCAAAATTCCACTGCACTTGTCGCAGAGGGTACCTTGAGTTGCAGGTGAGACCACCCCACAACCCTCTAAGGTGTGAGGTCTTCTATTGTATCTGAATGTGCAGCTTTTAGCATAGAGCCTGGAAGAGAGTAGCTGCTCAATAAATATGTCCTGAATGGATACAAGATATGGAAGTGCTTTGAAAATTACAAGTTATAAACCCCTGATCATGCCCTCCAATTGATGCCAAGAAAAGAGAACAAGGGATCACAAGTAAAGGCCAAGTCCAGGCAGGTAGGGCATGGGGTAGTTTTTCAGATGGGCAAGCACCTTTTCTTCCTCAGTTGGCTTCAGTCCCGTTATGGGTTGAATTGCGTCTCCCCACCCCTAGTTCATATGTTGAAGTCCTAACCCTTGGGACACCAAAGATGGGCAGCAAGGACAAGAAGTTAGGGAGAGGCCTGGAGCGCAGTCCTCCACAACCCGAAAACACCCAAGCCTGCCAACACTCAGCCTTGGACTTCTAGCCTGCAGAGCTGTGAGACAGTACATTTCTGTTTAAGCCACCCAGTTTGTAGAACTTTGTTGCAGCAGCGCTAGCAAGTGAATACAGGTCTGAATTAAACTGTGAGTTCCACGAGGGCATAGCCCCACAGCCAAATGGTTAAATCCATTGATTTTCACCACCGCAGAGCTCACCTCTCTGCCTCTGTCTTCAACTTGAGCTACAGTGTCTCATAACTGGGCTGTTGAGATAGCCTTAAACTGACCTTCCTGCCTCTCCGGTCAATCCTTCATGCTCCCACCGGAGAGCAGGACCTGCTGGGTCCGAACAAGCTAATCCAACGTCCCACAGCTAAGACCTTGACTTGATGGCAGTCTTCCCATGCCCACCAGGCGCACCACGATCTGGCCTCTGCGGTGGTGCTGGCTGCCTCCACTGTCACAGCACCCTTTTGAGTTAATGGTCCTGCAATATTCAAGCCTCCAGGCTCCCCCCCACCTCCACATCTTTCACTCCATAGTTCTTGCTCATTCGCAACACTCCTCTTCTCCCTTCAAACCTTTTCTCAGGCATCAACTCTTCTGTGGCATTTACATCTTCAGTCTTATCCAGCCAATGATGAGTTTTTAGTGAGCAGAGATGGTGCCTGATTTTATTCCCAGCAGGCGATCGGCTACAGTACAGGATTTTGCAGACCGTAGAGGGTAAAGCAAAATGCACCTGGACCTGAACCGAATATCTCATTCACTCAGTGAAGATGGGAAAAAATGACAAACGTGTGCATGAGACTCAGAAGCAGAGCAGGAAAACACAGCCTGGATTCAGGCTCCTGTTGGGTGTGGGATGCAAAGCAGAGCCAGAGACACCAGTTTTCACCTGTCTGTTTATCTTAGGCAACTTCCCCTCACTGTGCTTCTCAATGTCCTCAGATAATAAAGGGAATTATTAAATGTTAGTGTTCAAGGTTATTTGGAGGACCAAAAAAATTGGTGCACGTGAAGCCTTTAGAACCATGCCTGGCACATAACAGCCACGTGATACAGATGAGCTTAAATTAGTTGTCATTCTTGACAGGGAGCTCCTAAATAGCAGAAGCCTACCTTTTTTTCCCTCTTAAATCACCTAGCATACAGTAGCAGCAAGAGAAAAAGTCTCTGTCCTGAGGTGGTCAAAGGAGGTTTCCTGGTGCTAAGTTGGATTTGTATAGGCAGGGGGACAAGTCATTCTGGGGCAAAAAGCTAGGAAACATAATCAGTTTTCTCCAGGAGCAATAATGTTGATCAGTGGTGTACCAACAGTGGCTACCAGAAGACTCAGAAAATCATAAGAAAAAATTTAAAAAAAAGAAAGAATCAGGGACACGGGGAAGGCAGTATAGCACAGAGACAACAAGTAGTGACTCTATAACATCTTACTATGCTGATGGACAGTGACTGTAATGGGGTATGTGGTGGGGACTTGATAATGGGGGGAATCTAGTAACCACAGTGTTGCTCGTGTGGTTGTATATCAATGATACCTTAATTAAAAAAAGACAGAAAATGATGAGTGAAAAGCAGCCAAGAGACTATCTGGTTTAGTCCCACTCCTACACCCATCTTTTGTTTGGGGAAACTGAGGCCTGACAGGATGAAGATATTACTAATGTCACACATCATATCAGGGCCACTGATGAATCTGAACCCCAGGTCTTCCAAGTCTAACAGACGTGCTCAGAGACCAACCCTCGGCGAACCAGGGACAATGCCAGCCTGGGTGGGCAGAAGGGGAGGTCCTGGGCAGAGGGCTCCATCATTCTGAGGCTCTGAAGGTTACCTTTTTGGAGGTCTAAGCACTTTCTTCCACAGCTGAAGACACAGCACTTCTTGTTGCCCAGGCATTGTCTGTCCTTCATACATTCATCCCTTTCTCGGAATTCACATTTCTCGTGGATTCTGGGGCATCTCCCTAGGGAAGGGGCAGTCCTACAGCTGTGAGTCTTGGAGCGCACGGTGCTGGGAAGTCAGGAAGTTTACTTTCCCCTGCTTATGCCCAGGACCTCTTTCTGTAGGGCTGCCAGTGCTGCTTACTGACCCTCCCTCCTGACCACCCCTCACTCTCCATCTTCCTACCCTGCCCCTACCTCCATCCCCTGGCCACATCCCCTCTAAGGCAGGATTTCTCAACCTTGGCGCTGATGACACAAGCCAGATAATTATTTGAAGGAGGCAGGAGGTGGTTCAGAGTGTTTAACAGCATTTCTGCTAAATGCTGTTACTACCCAGTAGATGCCAGTTGCGCTCCCAGTTGTAACAACCAAAACTCTCTCCTGACATTGCAAATGTGCCCTGGAAGGCCAAACCACCCCTTCAAAATTGGAAACCACCAGTCTAAGCTCATCTGGTCCTTCAGGCCCCGTGGAGGAATCCGTGTTTGGAAGTTCCTCTGGGGGGCGCTATTGTGCAGTGATGGATTATCTTTCACCCTGGCATCAGTTACATTTTTAAATCCTAATTTTTGGTTGGCCACTTACTCTCTCTGAATTTTCGTTTCTTCGTTTGTAAAATTGTTTTAGCCTTACGGAGTTGTGAGGAAGGAATGAGACAAAGAGAGTAGTAGAGCTGCAATCATAGGAATTGATGCACCGTAACATTAACTAACATTTGTTCAGTGTTTACCATGAGCGGAGCGCTCTTCTAAGCATTTTAAATGTTGCCTCGTTTAATCCCCACAAGAGCTGTGTGAGGTGTGTTCATCAATATCTCCATTTTGCAGGCGAGAAAACTGAGGCACGTGGACTCTAAGTAACCTGCCCCGGGTTACCTGGCTACTGAATGGCACAACCAGAATAGGATCCACCACATCTGACTCCAGATCCCTCTCCTTAAATCCCTACTTTCTGAATGTTCAGAAAATGGCAGCCATCATTATAACCATATGACCATGGAGCATTCCTAGCTGGATATTGTCCTTTATCCAAAAATCAAGGAACCCTGGGGGATGCAAGGATACTTTGTAAGACTACTTTTGGAAGAATCAGGAGTTGGTAGGGATCATTTCCTGAGAAAGGGGCTATTTTTGTTGTGGGGTGTGGGCAGCTCCGTTTGGGCCTCTCAGATCATTACAGCCCCTCCCACACACGGAAGATCCTGTGACTGACTCACGCCAATCTCCGAGTGGAACCTCCACTTCAAAAGGGATGAAGGCAGGGGCTGCCTCCGGCCTGGATTCTGACATCCGCGGAAGAGATCCTCCGCAGTGAGGGAAACAGGAAGCAGCAGTCTAAGTATCTCCCTCCTCTCCCAGCCCAGGAGCAGGGCTCAGATGGTGGAAAGCAACTCAGATTTGAGGATTGATCCCTATTCTTCCTCCCCACAATCCTCCCTCTCTCCAGGCAAAAGCTGAGGCCCCAGTACTCACTGGGAAAGAGCCCGTCAGTCCGACCAGGGCCCTGGACATTCACTAGAAGGATGGATAGCACCAGGACGCCCAGAAGTCCAGAAGGCTCCATTCTGAAGAAGCGCTGGCCTGTCCAGTGGTTCTAGAACACGAAAATGTCTAACTGCCTTTGTGCAGCCTATTCCTTCAGCAGTCAGTATCTTGGATATGAGAGCTGGAGTCAGGCCAGCCACCCCCTTTCCTGCTGGGAACACCAAGTTCCTGAGACCATCCATGTGACTAGCTGGCATCTACAGCCCATGTCCTTGGGGACGGGTCTCTTATTGGATGGCTCCCAATCCTTAGGCCCCTGGGCTGGGCCGGGCCCTCTGGTCAACCAGGGGTCCGGGCACCACTTGTCTCAATTCCCAGGCTACCCTCGGAGTGCATGCCACCATCAGGGGTCTTCTTCCGGATAACTTTGAGAGCTGAGGAATGTACTCATTCTCCATTCATCCTCCATTTTATCTGCATACTAATTGGCCACTCCTTTTGTCTCTATTGATCTCTTGGCATCTCTTTGTTTGTGCCTCTCTGGGTCTGTGTGTGACTTTTTTTTTCTGTGGGTCTCCCCGGGTCTCTGTGTCTCCTCCGTCGCCCACCCTTTCTTCGCATCCCAGTCCCTTTTCTCTTCTGGCACTCATACACTGACTAAGGCCAAAAAGTAAATATGTTGCCACATGGGGTATGAGGGAGGAAGCAGCCTGATAGGGTTTTCAGCTGACGTGTGTCAAGGTTATGTTGCCCAGAGCAGGAGAGACTGTCAGAGCTCATAGGGAGCTTCTACCTTCTGGTGCAAACTCCGTTTTGTCTGAGGAGCAACTGTGGGATGAAGACACCTGCCTGAGAGACTGCAACTCCGTACCAGTCAGGAACGCATCCCAGTTGCTGGATTTTAACTGAAAAGAGAGGGCTGGAGTCCTTAGCAGCTTTCCTACAGCCACCCATGGGATCTGCAACAGCAGTTGATCAATCAATCCTGGTGGAGGGAGAGAGGCTGCAAAGAGTCAGTGTCATCCGTAGGGTCCCCATTTCCTTCCCTTAACAAGATGTTGCACTTTTGAGCCAAGCTTTGTCCTCCAATTGTCCTACATAACAGAGGCCAGACAAAGCCATCCTTATCTTCAGGAAGTGACCATAAGGTCACAATATTGAGGGTCACAGACAGAGCCCCCCGGGAATCTGCTCTGTGGGTCTCAGCCATCAATAGTGATGTTCTCAACTAAGAATGCCTGACATTCACTCAGGGTCACACTTACTCATAGCGAGCCCCACAAACCTTCCCCATCACCACAGGGGGACATGTTATGGCTGGACCAGCCCTTGTGGTTCTTACTATGATTGTTAAGACTCACCTCTGCAACACCATGAGGGAACTTTGAAGAACAAGATTTATTACTCCCAAGTAATACAAGCAGCCCAGAGGGCCACCCAGCAAGGTCGTGAGCAGAGAGAGAGGGAGAAAGTGCAGACCTAGGCTCAGCCTTGATTAGGGTCCAAGGGTTTCGTGGGTTTGCCATTTATTGGTGAATTGAAAGCATAGAGGTGGGAATTAGGGCATGAGAAGACAGAAGCAGGGCACCCAGGCAGTGGGTCACCTAGGTTACTCTGGGCTTTTTGAGAGGGGAACTTCATGGGCCAGAGCAGCTGGTTCTTTATCAGTTGTTTTGCTAGAAGCTGGGCCATACCTCTGGCAATATGTTTACTCAAGTGAATGTCTTTTAAATGGATGCCTCAACAGTCAAAAGCTTAATGTCAGGAACTTACTCTCTGGAACTCCATCCCACCTACTTCACAGTCTCATTAGATCCCACAAGAGAGACTGGGGGACTGAATTTCTAATGAACAGGAAGGTGTCTTAAGCAGCATGGTCCCTTTTATTCTATTACCTGCATTCTTCCCAACTCAGCACAGATGAGAGTGAAAATCTGGAATCCTCAGGTGGAAGGACTCTGAGGGCACCCCCAGTCCCACGTCCTCATCTTACTGACAGGGATCATAGGCCCGGATGCTAACTCAACATCGCCCAGTAAGTGAGTGTCAGAGATAAAGTTAAGAGGGAACTGAGTGTCTAAGATCTAGCCAGAGGTCACTAGGGTATCTTCTGATGTTGGTATGGATGTAATAGTTAAGTCTCAAGGGGCTGAAGGGGATGTTTTTGGCGGGGTAGACTCCGTAAATGTCCAGACGGCCCCCAAATAAGGAAGAAGTCTTCTCTAAATTTTCTTGAAAGTAAATGAAAATACGGAATTTTGGGTTGTTCAATCCCATTCTGCCTCACTTTCCAAGCTGGTGAGATGAAATTTATGTGTTTGGAGCTGGGGATGAACGATGCTTGGGGCCTCTCCCCTCACCTAATTTCTTGGAAAAGGCAAGATGAAGGTCACTGGGTCTTTGTCCTCCCTTCCCTTATCTCCTCTCACTGACAGTCGCAGTGCCCTGCTTCCGCCTCAGCCACACTTCTACTGTAGGACCAATCTTGTATTCAGATGAGGAACCCCAAGGAGCACCAGAGTAGATGGCCTCTCCCTGGAAATGCCTGCTTGTTCATTAGGCCAAGACCTGTCACATGCTAAAACTTCCTGTCACTGGCTTTCTATGTGTTCCCTGTGCTTCTAACTATATTACTGAGTCTCGTGTCTCTTTCCCCACATAAGCTGTGTGTCTAGAACCTAGTGCTTAGAACATGAATAGGTCCTAAATAAACACTCAGTGCATTCTGGTGGATGAGCCAGGTAGGTGGGGGACTGCTGGGTAGATACGTGGATGGATAGATGGCTCCCAGTACGTTGAACGGGAAGACAGTTGGATGGGTAGGATGGGTGAGGATAGCATGGATATTTGGGTGAGTGAAGGTACAGCTATGTATGGGTGGATGAATGGCTGGGCAAAGAAGTGGATTGGGCTGAACATAAGGAAGGACAGGTTAATGATGGGATGAACGGGTCTGTTGATGGAAGCTGTTTGAATGGAAGGTAGATGAGTGCATTGGTAAGTGGATGGAGGGGAAATAGCTGTAGAAAGTACACATATGTATGTTGATGGAGAAGTAAGAGAGAATGTGTGTGTATATGTGTGTGTGTGTGTGTGTGTGTGTGTCTGAGAGAGAGAGAGAGATGGACAGGTAGATGTATATATATGGAAGAAAGGCTGGATACACAATGAGCGGCTGGATAGGTAGGAGGAAGATGAGTGAGAAGGGTAACTGGGTGGATGTATGGGTGAGAGGATGGGTGGGATGACAGGTAAGCTGAAAGGTACGTCAGTGGATGGGTAGGTAGGTAAATGGGTGGATGGGTGTGCTGGGGGTAGGATGCATGAGTCTATGAATAAAAACATTAACCAAAGCTAAAGCCATAAAAAGATTATATTGAGAGTAATTTATATTACTGTACAGTAATACATTTGAAAATAGAAAGAAAACAGATCAACTTTATCAAAATATACAAGATCAGAAGTTACAAAAGAGGAGGTAGAGAGCCTATCCTGACCATAAGATTAAGCACAAAAATATTAGTCAAAATAAGCCATTATAGAAGGAATATTACCTAGATACTTCAGGGGTTGAATTTTGTCTAGCCTTCAAAAACAGAGAATTGATATATTATTTTAAAATATTACAAATCATAAAAAAATAGGTAGGTTTCCCAACTAGTTTCCCATGTTCCTTTTTTTGAAGGAACTCAAATAACAAAACAAACAAGTCATAGATCTTTTTTCTTTTAACTACAGATGTGAAAATTCTAAATAAACTATTTGCTAAAAGAACTAACAGTTAAGGTCCCAGAATGCATTCCCAGAATGCAAGGACAGTTCAACATTTAAAAATTTAGTAAGTTATTCCACCAACGAATTAGGAGAAAAATCATTACATGATTAGATGCTTAAAAAGTATTTGATAAAATTCTGCAGTAATTTCCAGTAGTGGCTGTAAATGGATAAAAAGGAAACAACCCAAGTGCAATAAAACCTGTTTATCCCAAACACAACAACAAATGTCATTTTATACAACAAGAGACATTGACCTTAAAATAAAGAATTAGGCAGGCGTAGATGTCATTGCCTTTATTTTCAACATTACTTCAGAAGTTCTACAGGATACAAAGAAGACAAGAAAACAAAGTCAGTCATGAAGTTGGAAAATAGAAGAGTCAAATATATCACAATTTTCAGATGATGTGATCATACATAAAATTAAAGTAACCCCATAAAATAAATACTTAATAAGATCGTTTGGCAAAATAGTTGGATTTAAGATAAAATTGATAGTTTTTTATTATGCTACTCATGATTACTTTGATGATGATATTTTGCACTTACTATTCATTTTTGGGGTTCCAGGCACTTCAGTCCACAGAGTGAACAGCACTTCTCTGCCACTGGACAGTCCTCATCCTGCAGGCACTTGGGTTTATCAATCTTGGAACACATCAAGGGTTTGCGTGGGCAGAAACCTGCTTTGACTTCAGAGAGTAAAACAAGACACTTGACCTTGAAATACTTGAGCACAATTTGAAACAAACTTGGGGAATCTTGGGAACCTTAAACAGCATTTTCTTCTGATTAAGCCTCTTACTCTTTCCCTACAGTAACAATAAAATGGAGAAGGCAGAGTATCAACTTTCTATAGCTAAAAGGTTAAGGAGCATCAAAAAGTCTTGCCATCTCTGACTTTAAAAATATGATGGGATTCTCGCGTGGCCCTCCAGAATTAATGAATTTGGGTTATCTAATCCCAGAGTACCAGGGGTAGGATTATTAGAGAACTTGCTTTTTTTTTAAATTGTAGAAATTGAGGACTTTACAAGGGAAAGTGAGTTGCCCAAGGCCACACAGAAACCAGTACAAGAGTTGAAGTCAGTTGAAAAGACTGACCCCTTCTGCCACACGGTGCTGTGCCTCAAAACACCGATGATCCCTGGGACAAGACCATACTACCTCAGCACTATACGGGGAAATGAGCCAGCCTCCGAGGCTGGAGAGTCCAATTCTACACCAACAGCATTTTGCTACCAGTATTTTCCCCCGCACACCTTACAGGATGTGAATTTACTGTGCAGGCTTCGAAGTTCTGTGCACACATAAGGGCCTATTAGGAATACACATAGTGGTTATGGAATTTTTTGTATGAACAAGTGGATATTGTCACCATGTAAGCCACTGAAGAATGGGACTCAAAATAAATAAGTTTTCATGGGGAAAAATGGCAGGTGATACCGTGTATGATTGGCTTTGAAGAATAGCTCAATTGTCCCCCAATATCAGGAGGGCAACATGAGAACGCTCATCGGGCATTAGAAGGGGAAAGGTTCTCAAGATACCTCTAAAGCCAACACAACGGGCAACCACCATTCCACGGGACAGCATGGCATCCTTAGCATATGCCCAGTAGACTTTGGAGGTATGTCCCCCGTCCTCACCTGTCCAGGCGTTGGCACAAACAAAGCCACACATGGATTCACAACATTTTTCAGTTTGGGGGCAATCGATGTCACTCTTACATGAAGCCAAACACTCCACACGGGGCTTGAAAGGGTAGAGTGGACACTGTCCCATCTTGACTAAAACAAGAGCAGATGTGAGCTCCTTCGAACCCCACCCCATCCCACCACCCTTCAAGCAGCTTCTTCTCTTCAAAACTAGAACCTCCTCCTGGGACTCGGTTCTCTCTATGCTGTCCACCTCTAGAAGGCTGTAGAGGAATGAAATGTCTCATCATATCATGGGATGTAGTATAAAAGAGAGATAGGCTTGCTGTTTGAAGCCCCAAAGTGAAGTCCCAAATCTGCCATTTATTGAGTGACTTTAGTTTCCTTGTTTATAAAATAAGAGTAATTATGTGAAATCAACAC